CTGCTACTGCTACTGCCACCACTACCACCACCATTATAATTACGAGCACTATTTTTTACTTATTACTCATATTACCACTGCTACCAGTACTATTACTATGGCTATTACTGCTGCTGTTACTAGTACGATTACTATAGCTATTGTTTTTACTATTGCTATTGAAATTTCTATTACTATTACTATTCGCTATTACTATGATAAATAGTGTTCTTATTACTACATCAGCGTGCCGCTGCGCTGCGGCGGGAGCAGTCTGCAGGAAGCGTCTGCGCACGCTTGGAGTTGCGAAGGGCGCCTCGGAGGCAACCCCATCCCTAGTACCAAACCCCAATGAAGGGGTTTAGGGTTCTGGGCTTAGGGTTTCGAGGGCTTAAGATTTCGGATTTAGGGGTTACTCTGTATAAAGGTTGAAAATTCATTACTAGGCTAGGGGACGTGCAGGAGGTTATTCGTAGAGGGAGTGGAACAGAAAACTTGAGCTAAGTGGCTTTGGGTGTGGCTTGAATTGGGGCAACCTTGGCGGTTTAAGGTTTAGGGACTTATACGCTTAGAAGCCTAGAATCCTAAGCCGCTCTAGGCACCAAACAATGCTTTTTGAGGGAACTCTAAACTTTGTGTTAACGATCATCAATGTCCGGTTCCTCGCGTCCAGGTGGGCTCTGGGAGCATGGGTTACTTGGCGCATGGAGACAAGTAAATACTCCAGGAAGGAGTATTGAGCATCTACATCTGAAGCTGTCGGGCTTCTAACCCGCCGGGTCTAGCAACCAGAAAACTCCAAGTGCCTGAAAAAACCTATGCCCATTAATGGGATGATACTGGGGACAACAGAAGGGAACGCACTAGGAATTATGTTAGGGTTATACAGGGTCATAATCTGGGTTGCTGTTAAGGAACTAAGTTAATTTACCGTAATGGGTATATATAGTAAGTAATATTGTTTCCCCGTGTTTCCCCAATATAGTAACTTAAACTAAGCTCCTTAATAGCAACCCAGGAATAGGGTTTCAATATGACCCTTAGGTTTTAGCCTTGCCTGGACTAACCCAAGGCTCCTACTCTGCAACAGTGACGTCCTTACATGTTATTTAGGGGTTTCCCAAAATTGGGGGGTACACTTTTGGGGATCCCTATAATAAGGTCTATAGTATTTTGGGGTCTATATTGGGGTACCCTAATTTTGGGAAACTACCATTTCTTATGATTACTACTCTCGTGATTACTATCACTATTCTTATATACCGTTATTATTACCGCATCCTCTGATGATGAACCTGGAACAGCCCGGATATGAAGTAATTCCCAACTGCGATACCCTAAACCCTAAACCCTCAGCCGAGCAATCGGAACCCGAGGTGCTGAAGTCGGGATCGGCGCTAGTCCCCGTCGAAATTGTAAATCCGCGATTGGCCTACGAGAGCTATAGTCTAACTTCTTAAAGCGGGGTTGCATAGGGCAGGGCTATAGGGGACTACTATAGGAGTTCTCAAGGGAGGGGTACTAGGAATTGAGACTATGGCTCACGTGGGGAAGACCGTGGACGGCGCAAGCATTGTGCACACGTGGCGGTCGCTCTCACCGCATGTAGAAGGCAAAGGAAGTAGGATTAAAACCATCATGTAACCTCCACATACAAGCCCACAGGAGCAGAATTGGTATCTGGATCCCATGCATGGTAGACGGGTCTCCTGAAGCCCCTTGTTTGACGGCCACCACGGAAGCTCATGGAAAAGGTATTCTCCCATGTCTCGTTCAGGCACAATGGGGGTGCAAAGTGGTACGAGTAGAGTTTCAGCACTTAAGGTCATCAGTCACAACTTTGTGAAGAGCAATGCTAACGTGCAATTGTAGCTGTCCCTTTAGCAAAACCATGCTCGGATGGGCTGACTGTCCAGCCTTGCGCCCATCCAACATGCGCTTGTCAACGTCAACACCGTCGCCTTAGCCGTGTTGCGCTTAACACTTAGGGGCCACGCAACAGCTAAGAAAGGGAGGCACCTAGGCTTCCTAAAATGAATTTTAGGAATATTCTTCATAGCCTGTGCCGATCCGATTGCTGTTGACTTCACAGTTGCAAGGACGGCTGTTTCGCTGGCTGCAAAAAGCACTTGCGCCTTACTTGAGGATGCACACTAAAGTTAAACCACATTCCACTTGCAATCACTGCACCTGCAACCCATGACATACCTTTGGATCAGGTGACCACCAAGCGGAGTCGGGGGTATAGAAATGGAAGTTCGAATGCTTGTTCAACATGAGCTTCAACGCACTTAGGATATAGCCCCCCTTAAGTAGATAGAACCTGGCTATTGGGTATATTTTAATAAGATCCCCATATACCCCATATTCTATCTACTTAAGGGGGACTATACCTCTAGCTTCTCTTATCTAGTACAAGGGGAACATAGCCCTGCCCCTTGCAACCTCGGCAGAAGTGCTTGGACCCAAAGGGCAAGCTATCATCAAGGCCTCATCGACTGATACAAGTTTGCTGCACAGGCTTTGCCCACAACCGAGGTTGCTTTAGATAATGGACCCTCAAAAATCTTGAAGACACTGTTGGGATTATGATGCAGTTATATGGGCAAGCATATTAGGTTGAAGGTATATGGGCAGTTTCCAAAATTAGAGTCCCGCTTTGGTACCCCTGAATAATAGGTGCCGTAAGATAATCTATAACCAAAAGGGGTCCAGAATTTTGAGAACAACCCAGAAAACTTCACAAAACTTCCATCTCAGAGGAAGGGACCCATGACCTAGGTAATTTTTTGTGGGGCCCAGCCACATTTGGCCGCAGCATCGATGCCATCAAACACAAGCTTGCGGGTCTTGGAGTCCTCCACACTTTAGGGTTCAGGGCTGTCCTAGCCACTCCAAGGTAGTTCCTTTTTGACTTTGGTATGGTTTTTTGGGTAGGACTCTTGTTAGGACTACCAAAAATGTACTACATTAGAGAGTCTAGGTAGGGCTTAGAGATCAGGGCTTAGGGTTTAGGGTTCGGGGTTTAGGGTTTAGGGATCACGGCTTAGGGTTGAGGGTTTAGGGTTCAGGGCTCAGGGTGGACTTGGGGAAAGCCTTCCTGCTTTGGGGCACAAGGTCCTGAGCTCAGGGCCCCCCTGCCCAAGCATCCGAGCTATGTTCTAAACTCCTGGTATCCCCCTTAATAACCCATCTAGTACCCCCCCCTTATGGTATACAATCCCTTATATATAGCCCCCTTTTAAGGAGTTTAGACTATAGCTCATCTAGACATTCTGCCGTGCCTGAGAATGGTCTTTGATAGTTGAGAGGCATACGCAAAATTCCTTCCGACTTCCGAGACCGAGCGAGGGCAAATGAAAAACAAAATGTTGCTTCCAGTTTTCGCATCAGTTTTCAAAATTCAGTTCAGGATGCGGCGTAACCCCTGTGAAGCTGTTTTACTACAAGGAGACCTTGCAAGAGACCAAACGAAATCTATTCCGATCACATTATTGCCTGGGATTGGGAGTCCGCTCGGCACTACTTGTTGCACTGTCAGTCTCCACTAAGCACTAATCATCTCGACATGAGTGTGTAACCATATGACACCTCCCTCAGGTACTTCTTCAGAAAAACTAGCCGGGATTGTATCAGCTCGTCAGTGCCCACAGCGTCAAAAGAGTGCAAATCCCGGACAAGGGCGAGTTTCAGATGGATAGGTTGGCGCTCTTTCCAGCAGCTGCTCTTAGTAGAAATGCCGACGGAAAATGAAATTAGTAAACGCCGGACATCTTGGTAGGATAACCCTGCACGCCTAGACAAGACAATCTGAATGACGAGCTGCGCACAAAACTGTGGACATTGCACCTCACTCAAGCTTCTCTTCCTAACGTAGAAACCATGATGAAGCAGGACCCGACAAAATCCTGCCAAAACCGAGCATCACATATTGTGCCCCTAAGAGATGCGCGGCTCCTCGCCGTCCTCCTTGTCGGACTCGAAGCGAGGAGAGTTGGGAGCACCTCCACTAAAACAACTTATACCCAGGACAGCCATGAGGGCCCTTGAATATACTTTAGGTGGACCACCCCAACCAGTAATAGCGGCAAGAAGAGATAATACGGATTATATTAGGGTACTCTGATATTCCTCTTATACCACCATTAGAGGGTGGGGGGGCCTCCTAACATATACTCCCCTCCCCCAGGCAAGCAGCACCCAGCACCTTGCTAGCAATTAAACTATATTATATGCAGTATCATGTGGGGGTTATTCGGATGAGGGGATTGCTCCGCTTTCTTGGGAGGTGTTCTTTTTGCAATATCTGAAAGATGCCAATGAAGAAGAAATCGCAGCCCTCTATGCTTGAAAGTTCTCTAAGGTTTTGGGCAGCGTAGCTTCTGAAAATTAGGGGACCCCCCTGATCCTAACTATGGGAACCCCAAAAAGGGGCCCACAAGTTTTGGAAACTCTCATATCATCCTTAAGGCTCCACTTCACGTAGCACCTTTGAAGCCAGAAGCCATAACTCACATAAAAACAATCGAAAGAAGACATTCAAAAACCTGAACTCCAAACTTCCTATATCCTGAAATCTACACATGGAAGAGGTTTATAGCTGATTTATGACTTACTCAGATCCGCAGTTAAAACCATAAGGCCCTTCAGGCTGCTAAGGTGCCTAAGATTGGCCTATAAGCCCAGGTCTAAGTGGGTTATACTTCCCGAAGGGCCTCCAAGTAGATGCTGCACCTCAATCCCTGGTTTAGGATTTAAGGTTTCACCCTAAACCCCAAATCCTAAACCCAAACCCTAAACCCTAAACCCTAAACCCCAAATCCTAAACCCTAAACCCTAAATCCTAATTAGGGCTTCTCCCAAGCCTGCTGCCATGGCGTTTGAAATCGAAGCGACGCAACCGAGGTTCGCTAGGAATCAGAAGAGTGCCCCTCTCTGCATTGAGCCGAAATACGTTTGGCAGTTTCCCTAAATTACTTTTCCCAAAATGGGGGAAATTTATATAGGGCCCCGTATTATGATAGGAACCTAAATATAGGACCCCGTATTGACAGTAATTTAGGACAATCCCCATTTGGCCAGGGATGGAGGGGTTTTGAGTATGCAGAGGGTTTAGGGTTTAGGGTTGGAGTTCAGAGAACATACTGCTGGGTTATTCTCAAAATTATGTGCGCCTTTTGGGTATGGATGATATTACGGCACCTAATGTTTGGGGGTACCAAAAAGCGACCCTAATTTTGGGAACTACCCTATTTGGGCATGTTGCGTAGGGCAAGGTGTGTATGTTCAGGAATTTAGGGGTTTTGGGTATGTACAGGAGCTTACGGCCGGGTTTACAATCTAACATGAAATTCATGAGCTACTGTGGCAGCGTTGGTTCAAGACATACTTCAGACCTCGCACTCGGATGCCATGAACGCAAACCCAAATGTCAGGCGACAGTACCAGCAGCAAACCGCCCAACTCAACATTAAGAACCTCTGACTCCAATCCCATACCCTAAATCCTAAACCCAAAACCCCTAAACCCTAAACCCAAAACCCTAAGCCCAAAACTCTAAACCCTAAACCCCTAGAAATCCTGGAACGGTTAAGGGCGGGAGGGAAAGAGAGGCGGAGCCGCCTTCAGGAGCTGTGTCACAAGGATTCTCAAGATGCTCAGTAGGCATGCTTCAAAATGAAATGGAACCCTTTGTACCAGATGGATATGAGCTATAGTCCAAACTCCTAGTATCCCCCTTAATAGCCCCTATAGTACCCCCCCAATATAATCCCCTATATAACCCTCTTTAAGGAGTTTAAGACCATGGCTCGTATAAGGAGTTAGAGGCTATACCCTAGTTGCAACTCAGTTTGTTCTTGCACCTAATCCTGCAGTAGCCCCTACATATGATTGCTCCAGGCTCTTTTCCATGCCGCTGTTCTCTTGTAACAAGCAAGAAAACCCTAAACCTGTCCTTATAACCCACCTTCCATTTTCTTTCCATCTGATTTTCCGTACTATGCGCCCATAAAAATCCCATTTAACCCACGCAACCGTATATAATACCTATATAGCCCTATATTTTATAGACCCTAGACCCCTCAGCCAGCTTTTTAAGCTATCCGAGGCCGTCGGTGGTCAGCAGCGTGACAACGCACTGGGCCACGGGGTCTCCGGACAAGATCTCCGAAGGTTGCTGGACCTCAGGTTCAGACTGGGACTTGTTAGGTCTACTACTAGCACCTGAAGAAAATTATTATTGGGTATTATAATGTCTTACCTGGCTGATCCTGGGGATAGGGCTCTAATCCTACCTCTATGGTGGGAGAGATTTTGAAAGCGCATCTCAGACGATTTTCAGAGAGCTCGATGTATTCCTTTGTTGTAGAGTCTGCCTGTGTATGGAAGTCCGAAATGATCTCCACATGATACTCTGGACAACTACCCATGTGTCTTCCGTGCTCTGTAAAGAATTAGGACGCCGATCACACTAGTAGGAGATGACTATAGGGACTTTTCGGGGACTGCCGTCGGAGCTTCTTCACCCCTATCTAGAACAAGTGCCATGATACAACACTTGTCCCCAAGGCTATGAGCCCAGAACCATGAGTACAGTCCTCCTACATACATTAGGTGGACCCCCCACCCAGTAATAGTGACTATAAGGGATAATAGGGATTATATTAGGGTCCTCTTATATTCTCATTATACCACTATTACAGGGTGGGGGGGGTCCTCCTAATATGTACAA